AAAACCAAACTTGAAGTTTACTACGACGGTCGGTTTATGAGGGGATTTATTTAGATTTATTGTAGGCTACTGTACTTGGCAAAGATTAAAATGCTCACCAGTGTATATTTGGTACTTATTATTGGGTTGTCCGGAATGCAGGTGCCGATTTGTCAAGAAAATTCACAGTCGATAAGTTTGTATATCGATATATGTACCATTTTGATCTATAACATTTCTACATTTTTCACTTAAGTAAAAGATTTCTTCCTCCCTAAATTTTTCAGCGAAACATTTTTCTAGTTGGTTTTTGAAGTTTTTACCGTTAAGAGATTTTTTCAAAGACGTAAATAAATTAAATCAGAATTCCTTTTCGTATGAAAACCGGCTTTCGGTGTGGATTATGGTGGTTCATTTCACTTACCCCAGGATCTTTTTCTTTCAACATTAAAATTCAACATAAAATAAATGATCCGATTTTCATCACCCATCATTATTTACTCTAAAAACGTGTGTTTTCGTTACGTTTATACAGCGAGTCGCAGATGAAAATAAGGTATATCAAATTTTGATTCGTTTGATTTTCATATTCTAACGATTTAAGTATCCAAACATAACAATATGCTCTTATATGGTAGTCTTTATGTTGAAATCACTAGGTCTAATCACTTATGCATAGTTCTTTCAATTAAAAGAACTTCTCCGTAAAAGGAATTTTTCTTAGTTATAGCTTGGTACATTGTTGGCTTTCCAGTAATAGATAAGTATCAATGCCTAAAATGCACTTTATATTCTTTCATCTTCAACAGTCGCAAAATATTTGATCCAAACCAAACTTTTTTCTAAAGACGATTGAAAAGTCATCTTTCAGAATATATTCATACATTCCGGACAACTCAATATTTTTTATAACTGATCTAAGCCGGACTCTTCGAGTTATTGCTGTACTTTTATCTTATTAGTAGGAAACAAATATGTGCTATCAACCATATTTTATAAAATTTATAAAATAGCTGAAACAAATTTATATTTTAATTAATATGAACACGTCCATATAAATATACAACTCATCCATATAAATATAAATATATAAATATACAACTAGTTTTATACGAAATATATATTACATTTCCATTATTATATTAATTTCAATTAATGTTTTATATTTCAAGAATAGTTTGTAAATTTAGTTATGTTATTTATATTTTCATATTTTAAGGTATTCAGTTTTATCGAGATTATATTATACGTAAAACAGAAAACTTATCATTATGACTTGCATAATAGATTTAATATATCAACTTATAGATATAGTCATACATGCATATACAATATAGCAATAACGGTCAAAATAATTTTGTATACAATAATTTATTTTGAAATTTTTAAATCGTACTATAATAAATCCGGATATATCGAAACCGAACTGTGGGAGGTATTGCTGTTTACAAGGGATTAATCTTTTTGCCATAATTTATAATTTTTATTTATGTTTTATATAAATAAATAGAAATGTTTCCTTTTACTTTAAGGTTTTACAAATCTACCTGAAATGTAGATTTAACCATATTATTGTCGTCTAAGGTTTATCTATATTTTCTTCATATTTAGTGTTCTATTGGGCGTAAATAAAACACGATAACATTTTGTAACAGTTGATCGTTTTTTATTTATGCTTATATGAATATGTTTTATTTGTTTATAAATGACTTTTACAATAAATATAATTATTTATTGTTATTTATCAAATGTGGATGACTCACATATAATACCATTTAAAATTGATCATAAAATATACTTTCGGCTTCAAAATTATGAATATCTTTCAAAAAATAAATAATACATTAAAAAAGCTTTATTACATGTATGTTAATTAATTAACTAAGCCACTAAGAAGCCAGGTTTATGAGCCTAAACTTAAAATTTAAAAATGAATTTATTAATATAATTAGTTGATTAAAAAAAATATTATGACACAAATATAAACTTTTGCGGGGACGGGTTTAAAGTAATATAATTTTTGTTTTCTGGTGCAAAAGAAGAAAGAAATCTAAAAAAATATATGTCATAGAATACAAATATGCAATCATAAACCTCTAGTAAAGATCTTTTTACAAATAAGCTTAGATTTTGGTATATGCGTTGGATACACTTATTTATTCCATGGAACGCGCTGTTAACAACCAATAAAATTACACACAATACAAATTCCCCCTGCAACTACTCTTCGCCAGTCCAGTTCTTCAGTAGGAAAAAAACTTACAAAAAAAAACGTCTGGTTCTAGTAATGAATACGACGTTTGTGTAAACGTAGCAAATGAGAGAATATTATCTATTTCTGCAAATTTTCTATTCAAATCAAGGACCTATTTGAGCAATAAACCTATGGACATTCCTTCCTTTTTAAAATCATATTTTCTGAGAAAAATAAAAAATAAAATAATATTTTATAGTCATTTAGGTGTATTGTCTGTATTAGTTTATGTAACTTTGTTATAAGTTTATGTAATATTATAGTTCCGTAAACCGGAACGTAATATTGCTTAATTGTAAAATTCGGTTCAATTTGTTTTTCATTAATCGCTTTCTTCCATGTATGCTTCATATGAAAACAAACCTAAACCGAAGGTGGTACGATAAACATTTACTTGGAACTTAATCGTAAACCGGAACGAAATTAATTTCGGTTCGTCTGTTTTTTGTATAATTCTTACTGTATAATTACAAATTTAATAAATAAACAATCTTGGATAATAAAGAATTACTATAGAACTTTTTTTTCTAAACCATCACTTAAAATGAATAATATATAAAGATTCTAATTATAAAATATCTTTTATTCATAAAATAACATGTATATTATCTTATAACATAATATTAATGTAAAAGGAGAGATTAATAAATAATGAATGTACACGATTCAACGTTAAAAACTTCATAGTGAATTTATTTAAAAAAAAACTTCTTATAAGAAAACATATGTTGCTTTCCAAACTTTCAATATTTATCAAAAAATATAAACTTCCTATCGGAAACACACTTTCTTTGACAACCATTTATTTCAATTCTATACTCATTACAGTATTATAATAAAAAACCGTGTTTCCGACAAGTTAATATTTTTTGTTAAAATAGCAGTTACCACAACCGCATTCGTTTAATTACAGTGTTTTTGTAACTCACGTCAATAACAAAATAAAAAACAAAAATATTTTGCCGTTCGATTTTAATTGTTGTTAATTAAATCATTGACAAGTATTCAACCGCAATTTAACCATCTCTTGTTCGGACTTCTACCAAAAATACAATATCTAAAATTAAACAACTTTTCAATAAATTTATCTTAAGTTCAATTAAATACCTGATAGGTATTTACTAACATAAATCAAAAATAAGAAAACAATGGCCAATTAAGTAAGTAGCAACCCTCCTTGCACTCGATATTATATATACGCAACAAACTCTCTTTTATACAGATAAATTGAAGTAAAATTTTTATATTGTGTTTATTTTATGTAGTCCTATATGTAGTTATTGTTATATTATTTAATATCTTATTCACGTTCATTGTTTTTGTATACAGTTATCATGGTTTAATTAAGCAATCCGTTTATACAAATATGGGTGCATCAGAATATTATCTGTGCGCTGTTGTTCATCACGAATATAAAAATATATGAGATCATCATATTTATCTACACTATATCAATTATATGCAGCATTTACATAGAAAAAGTGTAATTACATATTTATATATTGGCTTCTAACATACTTTAACCAATATACTTAATATATAATAAATGTAAATGGAGTTTTCATTAATTTTCATAATGGCATAGTAATGTCTTTGTATATATTAATATTCACAAATAAAATAGTTTATAAATTTTATTGTATTAATAGTATAATAGTAGTAGTTTTCTATTTTCAAAAAATATAAATTCTCCTATTTATTTTTAGTTCTTTCGAATCCAATCGTTTAATATTTTTTTTGTGTAAAAAAACTTGTTTTATTAATTAATTTTGATATTTCTAAATATTGAAATCATAGTGACATTCCAATGACTTTTATTTCAAAAATAAGGGCATTTTACTTGTTTATAACTGGATGAAATACAACTATATTTCTAGAAGAGATTTTGGAATGCATTATTGTGCAATTATAAAATTCATGTTATTGAAGCAGGTTCGCGAAATTAATTAATCACATCAATTGCACAACAAGTAACCATTACATAATCAACATCAATTAGTTGATCAAACGAAAATGCGAATAATATGTATGTAGGCTAGGAAACAAATGCATGTACCAATAGGATTTCAGCATTCTCGAAAATAATTGCAATTGTTTGGAACGCGAATGCAAAGCAAAAAATAAAATGCAGCAGCAATAACAACGTTCGACTAAATAATTATTAGGTATTTTGCAAATGATATATTTAGGCGTGCAGGGAGGGCATTAATTGCCGTGCAAATTTGCATTGAATTCATATTTACATAATGTAATTGTAATCAAATAAAAACATTCACGGCATGCCGTGTGCTTTTTAATGCCGCTCGGCTTAGCGCTGCAGCGTCCGTTGCGAGCTGTAAATGGGATATAAATTTAATTATCCTTATTCCTGCTGAAAACAGAGAGAAAAAATATGTATATGTGTGGAATAAAATAAACTTGGCGCGATTTTGCAGCGTGCGTGTCCCTCCGTCGCGTTATAATGAAGTGGTTTAGGGGGGCTTTGAATGCATAAGCCACTCGCGTACGTACATAATGTGCGGCGTTATTCCGCGAAATTTCCCCTTTGAATACCGTTTTTATGCGCGTTTCAACGGAAAGAAATGAAGAAAAAAGGAAGAGTAAGTAAAGTAGAAAACAACGTGAAACAAAATGCGGCTGTGGAGGAGAGGATCGGAAATCTTGGGCGGCGTTGCGCCTAGGATTATGCACGCGATATCTGAGGGGGTGAGGGTTCGGATGTTTGGTGCTTGGAGTCTGTGCGAGATCGCGGCGGAGCGGATCCGCGGACGACGACGGCGGCGGCCAGAGCCAGTCGATTGGAGTGCCCGGACCGACCCGGATCTGCCGCCGCCTCCGACGAAACACACGCACGCAACACCAGCTCCGAACGCCGACCGAACGGCACGCCCCTTTTTGAAACATACGACTAAAGAAATATTCAAATCTTAATCCTCGACATCTGGATCAAAACGCAGTAAGATGTTCAACTCATCAACACTCACAGATCACACATACCAATTTACATTCGTTGCAATTCTATAAAGTGAATCATGTTTCTAATTAAGACGATTGATACACTTAACGAGTATTAATTACAATTCCGATCCAACTGCATCGAAATTAAATATGCAAATGAAACAATAATTCCTCATAAATCTCAAATGCATACAGATTAGTTGCATATAAAGTTTTCTACTTTACAACAAACCATAAACATTTTACTTTGATCTAAATGTTCATCCACTTGAATCGTACGTTGTGTCACTTATCAAACGCAATACATGCATTTCGACATTATGTAATTATTCAAGTTGAATTAATTGACATTGTCAGATTAGTTTTTTCAATTAACTGCATTAATTAATTATTTGAGTTTAATTTTACATTATCCTTTCATTTATTGAAAATATTTAGATAAAACAACTAACATTATTAATATTCACTTATTCAACGTTCTAATTTTGTGACAAAATTGAATATGGAAATGAAACAATTCCTTCTCAATCCGAAATCGAATGAGATTAGTTTTCATTAAATTCATTCGAGGACTTCCTTCTGTGTTTCTGTTAGATCAAACAAGAAATCTTTTATTCCGACCTAACCGTTCATTGACATGAAACGGACGTTGCGTCACTTACCAACATACATGCATTTTAACATAATTATAATAATAATAATAATCATTTATTGCAACAGTAAAAAAATAAACGTTTTCATTTAAAACAATAAATAACAAAAAAAAATATTAATATTGTCGCATTGTCAACACTCACAGCTCACACCAATTTAAAATTATATGAATTAACCGGTTGATGCGTTTAACAAGAATTAATAGCAATTACGATTGTAACGAAATTGAATATCTGAATGAAACAATTCCTCATGAATCCAAAATGCACATAGATTGGATTTTCAGTTGCATTCGCAAGACTTTTATAAACTTTTCTACTTTAGAACAAACCAGAAACCTTTTACTCTGACCTATCTGTTCATCGACTCGAATCGTACTTTGTGATACTTATCTACATGCATTTCGATATTATTTAATTATTCAAGTTCAAACAATTGATATTGACAGTAATTATTGCAAATATTTAGAAATAACAACAAACCGTATAAAAATAACATAATTTTATGTTAAAATTAAATATTAAAATTGCGCCTTAAATCAACCGAATACTTCCTTCCTTCGCATATAAAATCTTTTTACTTTAGAACAAACATTTTTTTTCGACCATTTTTCTTCGACTTGAAACGGACTTTACGACACTTCTCAATCATAATGAATCTATCTTGACATAATTCAACTTCAATTAACAAACATTGATTATTTTTTTTATAATTTTATTTTTAATAGTCAAGTATTTATTAAAAAATATTATTAAATAAAATATATCAGTTAAAACCTTACGTGTTATTGAATTGCCATCAAAATTATAAACACAATTGCAGTACTTATAATTTTAACATTTGATGTGACGAAATTAATTATGAAAAGGAAAATATATATCGTCAATTCTAAATGGACGGAAATGAGTTTCTGTTTTAAAAGCTTTTTATAATAAAAAAATATTTTTATGCACAACCAATACAGATATTCAAATCTTAACGTAGTAAGATGCTCATATAATCAACACTCACAGGTCTCATTTTACCAATTTACATTCGTTGCAATTCAATGAAGAGAATCATATTTCTAATGAAGACGAGTGATGAGCTTTACGGGCATTAATTCCAATTCCGATCCAACTGAAACGAAATTGAATATCGGAATGAAACAAATCCTCATCAATCCGAAATGCACGCGTATTAGTATTTCTGTTGCATTCGAAGACTTTTACAAACTTTTCTAATTTAGAACAAACCAGAAACCTTTTACTCAAACCCAAATGTTTATCGATTTCAATTAAACGTTGTGTTATCAAATACAATAAATGTATTTCGACATTATTTAATTATTCAAGTTCAATTAAATGATATTGACAGTTTTATTTTACATGATTTGTCTAAATCAAGTATTTATTACAAATATTTACAAAAAAAAACAAGGGTATAATAACTCTTTAAAACGGATTGTGTTCAATAAATATATTTAAATAAAATAGAAAAAAACAACAAATATGATTAAATTTCACTTATTAACGAACATAACATTGTGGTACAATAGAATATGGAAATGAAACAATTCCTCTCCAATTCGAAATGTATTGAAATTAGTTTTCCGGATTCATTCGAGGACTTCCTCCAGTTATAAAAACTTTTTACTTTAGAACAAACAAGAAGCCTTTAACTCCGATCTAACTGTCGACTTGAAATGTATTGTGACATTATTCGATTATTGAAGTTCAAATAACATAAACTAATTATTTTTTTAGAGTTTTATATAATTTTATTCTATTATTCAATTATTTAAAAATAGTAATAATTAAAATATTGAGTCGGCTAGAAAGAACTTTCGGTTTTTGAGTGTGAAATAAAATTCATTTTTTAAATACAAAGAATGAACTTAAATCAATTATATATTTTCCATTTTGTCCGATGAACTTTTCCCATCATTCTGGCAACTCCATGAACTCGGTCTCATAGAACTTTCGTTCCTTATCAGTAAAAAAAACTGAATCTGTACTATTTCAGGTCATCACAATTAGTGAAAGTTTTACCATTCAAAACGTTTTGCAAACTTCGAAAACAAAGGAACAATGGTGAAAGGTCAAGGCTATACGGGGGATGCGATATTACTTCCCAACCGAGCTCCAATCTTTTTCCACGAGCAACCAAAGATTTGTGAGAATTTGCTTTATTTTGATGGAATACAATTGCCAATTCTGGCCATTGTTCTTTGATTACTTCCTCCAGTTTCGTTAGTTGTTGACAATAAACGTCTTACTTGATCATTTGATTCTTTCGATGCTGCTCAAAATACACAAAACCAGTGTAATCCTAGCAAATTGTATTTGTACGTGATTATTTAGAATAATTTGTGGAATATTCCGAACGACGGTTACACATTAAATCGTATAGTTGCGTCTATTTGTATTACCACTTAACAGCTTTCTGCAGCCCCTAAATATTTGGGCAGGATGATATAACTTAGATAAAGAAACGGTTGTATTTTCCACCAAACCCTTTTCTCCCACGCAGTCCTTTCTGAAATGAACACATTTTTGTATTACATAATTTAATCTTAGTCAGGGGAACAAACTGAGAGCAGGTCTTAGTAAGAGGGTCCAACGTAGAACATGGTCTCACTTGGGAAAGTCCAAGGAAAAGCACTTTCATCATAAATACTAACTTAAGAGGAGAATGTAACTCTTAGTAATAATCCCTGAGACCAACTATTGTATAGTTGACTTGTCAATAAAACTCCGATGTACACAATAAAGTTAATTAATTCATAAACCCCTCTAAGACTCCGCAACGACATAACTACGAGATAATCCACGGTGTCCAAGGATTTCTTAATCCCGGGGCACGACACAATTATGATTTTTATTTGGTCCTCACTGGTCGACCAATTCTAAAACGTGCATTCTGGTAAACTATAACTATCATATAATTCACATCCCTCTATAAGCATCAGCAACTTTCTCACCTTTACGGAAATAAAAAAGTTAAAAATGTTAAAACTGGCCGTAAACTAACTGATGCATACAAAATTACGCGCAATTGGCTTCTTCAGGAAAGTAAAAGTGACAAATTTCAAATGACAAAAGGAAAAAAATCATAACACGACAGAAGTCCTTCAAAACAAACAACACTATCTAGTTATGAAAACTTAAATTATTTTCTTTCTAACTTAATATATCAGTTACAACTTATGTGTTATTTAATTGGTTGCAATTGTGTATATACATTAACATTTCCTTTTTTTGTTGTGAAATTGAATATAGACAGCAAAATATATATATCGTCAATTCTTAATACACGGAAATTAGTGTTTGACTTACTTCCGTCAGTTTTAAAAGCTTTTCAACTTTAAAAAATATTTTGAAACATACAACCAATACAGATATACAGAACTTAGTCCAGGCCATATGAATCAAAACGCAATTAGATACTCACATGATCAATACTCATATACCAATGTACATTCGTTGCAATTCTAAAACAGGATATGGGTTGCTAATGTTATAGAAATTTAAAAAAAAATACGAATTCTTTGTATTTGTGGTTGCAATCGATTCTAGCCATACCTAGGACTTTTAAACCGCCTAAAAATAAACAGAACAAAAAGAGACTTGAGAGAAAAAAACTCATTTATAATTTATATAAATCATTTTGTGTACTATTTTATTAGAATTTATTCTATTCAATTAAAATTTATTTAGTTTTAAAATTTGTTAACCATACTATATACTAAATCCCCACAGATTACTGTTAGCAAAAATAAAATAAAAATGCTAACAATAATAGCCGCACCAACTTTTCAAAATGTAGTAGTGTATTTAGATAACAACAAAAAAAAGTGCCTAAAACTACAAAAACATAAATTACCTTTGTATGTCAAGTGGTTAATTATTATTACACGTTTAACATTCTTTTATTTACAGTGTTGATTAGTTTCATATAAATGTTTAAAGAAATATAATATCAGAATAAAATGTTTCTTATTATAAAAAAACAAACATCCAACATACAATAAGATGGTCACATTATCAATACTCACAGATTAAACAATTTTATGTATGTCTACTAATGTAAGTTCGTTGCAAATCTAGTTCATAATTTATATAGTTGATACGCTTAACAAGCATTAATTGCAAATCCGATCTGTTTGAATTAATAAACACGACTGCGGCGAAATTGAATATCAGGATCAAACAATTCATCGTTCTCCCGAAATCCACTGATATTAGTTTTCCGGTTGCATTCAAAGATTTACACTTTTAGAAACTTTTCAACTTTAAAACAAACTAGAAATATTTTACTTTGCTCCGTCCAAAGCATTAATCGATATGAAATGACTTTAACATATGACATATTTTTAAATAATTTTGTTATTTAAGATCAAATTACTAACATTTAACAATAATAATTTATTAGCCATAAATATATAGAAACATAAAGTAAAAATCAAATACCTATATAAGTAAATACATCTGGCCAAAAGGCACCGACATTAGTATTTTCGCTTATTTATTTTATATATATTTTTTGTCGTATAATTTAATTCACAATATGTTTACCAAAGTGAACATTGAGTAAATTTAAGATCGCGGTTGACATTAAATAGATAATCTTTCCCGGTGGATAGTTACCATTATGATGATTTGATTTGTTGGCTGTCGTCTTGTAGGTTAACTTCAGTAGTATATTGATGCTCTACGATTCCACTTTTTCCTTTGACTGTAATTCTGCTGCTATCCTTAACACTGTCATTGTCCATCGACAGGCTGAAGGTCCATATGGTGAACCTCATTCATTTGACTGTCCATCTGTGCAGAACGATAGCCCTATTGCTGCAAGCACTGAGAGGGCTAACAAAGGACCTGGCTTGACCAGGATTCGAACCGGCGCCCACAAAATCGTGGGTAGGGCGACTTAACCATTCGGCTATTAGTTGCCCTATTTTATATTTGAAATGATATATTAATATTAATTTAATTATAAGTTATAAATGTGTTCATTTGTAAGTTTTTCATTACTTCCCTGTTACATTTGAAGACTTCATGCAGTTTTTTTTAAAGTTTTTAAATTTTGAAACATACAGTGGAATCTTGGTTGTCGAACATAATTCATGCTAAAATTTGTTTGATAACCAAAACCAAAATTTAATAGATACAGATAATACATTATGTAATACCAGATGATTGCTAATTTAAAATTTATTATAAAAATACACATTTTTTATGAGCAATTGTAATTACAATATATTATAATTAATACACAATGACTGCAACGAAATTGAATATCGGAATAAAACAATTTCTCATCAATTCGAAATGCACGGAGATTAGTTTTCCAGATACGTTCCAAGACTTCCTCCAGCTTTAGAAACTTTTCTACTTTCGAAGAAATAAGTTTTTTTCTCTTCGACCAACCGTTTCATCGACTTGAATTGACTTTGTGACATTTATCAAACACAATTCATGCATTATTCGACTATTTAAGTTCAATTAACCGACATTATTAGATTACTTAAATGTATTCATTGTTAAATACATATATTATTGTTTAAGAAATGGTATTATGTCATTATATATCGTAAAATATTATTTGTTACAAATAAAATATGACTGTACAATAATTAGAGTAATTAAAATTTTAGTAATATAATTATTAATTGAATATTAAATGAAATAACTTTTACAATGTTTTTATTCTATGGAGTGAGATGGCTTGAAACAATCGGGTATTGAAATTCTTGTTCTGTTTATGTTTTAAAGTCCTCGTATTATATTTAATTCAATAACATTTAGCTATATTAGCTGATAATTATAGAGTATGTTTTAAACACATTTTGCTACCAACTTTCTATGAAGTGTTTACTCGTTTTGCATTATATTATCTTTTAGTTCATATTACTAGATATTTTCATATATTTTTACAGCGAAATTGAATATTCAAAGGAAAATATTTCTCTTCGATTGGAAATGCACTGAGATTAGTTTCTCAGATGCTTTAGAAGACTTACTCCAGTTTTAGAAACTTTTCTACTTTAGAACAATCAATAAATCTTTTTCTCTGTCCAAACTATTCATCAACTTGAAACAACAGTTATCATGCGCAGTAAAAACATTTTATTTGATAATTCAGTTACATTAATTGGTGTCACTTAATTACTTATCAAATACAAGTTTATATTGCGTGTTCCACTATGAGCTGAATGATTTGTGATGTCTTAGTTTTATTCTGATTTACTATAAAATTACCTGTAAAATATTTATGTAATAACTCATCACTTGCCTCGCCTTCAACACATTTTAGATTTGCGCTTATTTCCACAAGCTTCTATGTTGACTTTGACAGTGTGAATTGTTTCTAAGTTATTGGCATAATCAAATTGTACCACTCTTGCAATTTGATGTCTTTAGATTTTATATTTTAAACCAATTGATATTGCCAATTATAGAAATTGTGCAGCGATTATGTGATTGTTCATTACTTGGATGACACATAGCTCCTTCTTAGAAAAAGTAATTACCTCTATTAGACCACAAAAAGGTGGTTAACATCAAAGTGGAAATGTAATAATAGCAGCCGAAACAATCATTTGAGTGACATATTATTTTATAAATAATCTAGATGTTTCTAGTATATATTGTTTAAAAAAAATTGCTTACTGTAATTTTGTGTCATTTAATTTAAAAAATCAATTGTTCATCTCTTAGTGGTTCCATATAGAAATTAATGCCAGAAAAATCACGGTCTATAGCCATTTGGATGATAAAAATGAAAAAAAAAATTGATAAATTAACGAGTTCTTGCAATATGAGTTTATCTATACGCTTTGTCTGCCGAGCGCCGTTTGGAATTATGGATATTTGTCTCGCATACTCGCTTTGATATACGACTGTTGTTTATTTTTGTGCGGACTAAACAAGGACTTTCCTCAATTAGTGCGATTTCAAGCATTATTGCAGTAACTTAGGTGGGTTTATAGACAACCGAATACCTGTTTTGACCATGAATTTTAAATATATATGTATTATATAAAGCACTTCATAATAATAACACTTTTAAATCAACAAGTTTTTTTCCTCCCGGCAACAGTAACACTTTTCTTTGGCGTTGTCTTAATTTAAATGAAATTAACACATTTCTCCCTTATTCTATCTTTGTTTCGCATTACTGAATACAGCTCGCTTAACGAGCAAAACGAATTGTAGGAAAAAATGACTTGCTTAACGAGCGACGAGTGACAATGAGAAGAGAAGTTCCGGATTGCGCGTCTGCCTTTAAAACTTGTGTACACATATTATGTGTATTTTTGAATACGTTTCACTATACGAGTATTTCACTATACGAGTAAAAATCAGGAAATTTTGGAATGGATTAAACTCGTTAAGCAAGGTTTCACTGTATTCTCATTTATTGATCCGACTGAAGTAGAAATACGTTGATACTAGATAAAAAATAAACAGAAATCTTTTCCTATAAGCCAATAATTTATCAATTTATAATAAACCTTACTCATCAGCGGCAATTTCAATTTGTTTCATTCGGGTTATCTATTTTTTAAGTGAATAAAAAAGTTTTTCAATATTTTTAATTATAATTTAATTACGTTATTCCTGTTAATTAATTAAGCTAGCTACTCATCATTATGGAGTATTAAGCTAAGTACCTTGTCAATATTTGCATAGTTATGTACGGAATATTAATATTCTCCGGGACTAATAAACCTTCTTAAGAACTTTCATTATCAACTACATAAATAAACATTTAACGTTATAATTATATATTTATAAATAAATTTATTGACCAGAATATAGAAAGGAAAAACAACTCTAAATAAAAATAGCTATACAGTGGAACCTCGCTTAACGAGCACTTCTCATAACGAGAATTTCGCTTAACGAGCCACTTTTTGCATAACGAGTGACGATGAGAAGAGAAGTCCAGGATTGCGCGCCTGCTACATCATTTTTAAAACTTGTGTACACATATTATGATTTCACTATACGAATAAAAAATCGGAAATTATCCTTGTAATGCGAGGTAATATAAATTATTACTTAATTAACTATGTATATATTTATTGTCCCGTTAATATTAAAATAAATATATTTATTTGTTTTCACAGCATAAAAAAAATAAAGTAATTTAAATTCATGCAATTCACAATAATTGATAATAATGATATATCCCACTTTTTTTTTATTGCAAACATTTTTAATGAAATGTTATTGCTCTGTGTACAATTTGCAACGACCGTTTATAAATATTTAAATAATACTATTTACATAACCAGCTAATAAAACGCACGCGGCATTTTATATTAAAACTTTGTGCAGAATAAACTCGTACATGTCTAAATTAAATTGCATTTAATAAATGAGACATGTGTTTTCATTGTGTCATTGTTTATACGTCAACGTATATTATTAATTCTTATTCTGTCTGTCTCCGTTCAGTGTTCCGTCAGTATTTCAATGAATTCAATTTTATTTAAGCATAAACGAACACAAAATATATAAAAAACATATACGAATACACCCGGCGTCTGTATACTCAAAAATTGTTGGTAAATATATATATTTATATTAAAAACGAATGAATTTTAAATAAATTATACTTGAAATTTAACTTGGGAGTGAAGTTCTCAATATAGTTATTTCAATGACGTGTCCCAGGGATGCATTTCTAGACACTGTGGAATATTTTCTTCTGTTGTCTGTTGTGGAGCCTTACGTTTGGTAAATAATGAGTTTTACTTTTGGTTTAATATTAAAATATTCTTTAAAGTATTTGCTTTATTGTAATTCTTCCATCTGACACTGTAGTTGTCTCTTTAACATTCTTCCTAAGACTAATTACAAATACAGGTAAACGTCGTTTTGCGCCGGTTCGATTTACGCTGCTGCGAAATAACGCTTATTAATTGCTGATTTTACACCTATATAGAATTAAAGTTATATTACTGAAGAATGATATTGTTATGCTAAGAAAGAAGAAAAGTTAGACTATACAAAATTTCGGCAAAATAACTTTTTAAATTACTGAACTTACTATAAAATTCTAATTGTCGTACCAGAAATAAATCCATGTGGATTAGAATACATTATGCTTGATTGAACTTGAATGAACTGACTGACAACACAGTGATTAAAAATGATTTGTATGCAAATGTTAATTCTCCCTTTGTTACAGGTGATGCGCGAAAACATGTGAACGAAAAAAAAGGAAAACTCGAATCAGGGGAGAGAAAATTGCGGACGAAAAAAAAATCCTGTGCAGAAACGAACATCAATTAAATTTACTTGGACGTAGCGTCATGAACGGACTTCGTAATGGACTGCGTGGTCCTGTCCAAATACTGGTACTGCACATCCTGATCTTCATTGGAAGCAGTAAGTGCAAATTAGAATTTATATATAAAAAAAAACAATTAAAATGGTTCGGACAAAAGGCAACTTTTTGCATTTCAACTTTATTTTTCTTCGTGAGCAATTAAATTACATTTATCGGAGAATCGATTACATCTAGCCCGACATAAAAATTCAATGGAATCGGAAAATTGACTGGCAAAGTGAGGGAGAGCGAGCAGCAATTGCTTCAAATACAAAAAAAATATGATTGTAATTATCGTTGACCCGGGTATCGCTCGTAATTCGTTGAATTACTGCTGGGAATCCCCCCAATCGTATTCAGATTTGAGTGTGTATATGTTATCTATATAATTTCCGACCGATATCGACGTCCAAGAGAAGAGATTGCCCGAGATCGAGGGGAATTGATTTAAACTTGGTTTTTGGAAGAAACTCCTTCGAAGCAGAAACTATTACGTAAAACGGCATCGACGTGCGCATACGGATCGAATATATTGGCGATGACATAATTCAAATTAACGAAATGTAATAACATGTAATTTTGTTCATTAAATTTCAACAAAATATTTTCAAACTATAATAATTGCATATATTAGATCAGCGCTAACCTGTGGAGAGAATTTTGGTGGTCCGCAGAGAGGTTTGAATATTTATTTTTATTGTATTCTGATTTTCGCATTATTATTTTTGGAATATATCATCGTAGTTGCGACCGCTGTATTAGATAATCAGTTTAAATCTAAATAAAGTTTATATCAATAGTAATATCCAGTTTTCTAACATTATCTAATATCAAACTAAAAAATTTATATTAATTATTACAAATGTCTAGCTATTATGAAAAAGGACATAATGGACAAACGAAAGCTGAGGAAAATTTGGTAACCTACCCGTGATACTTCTGATAAAACATTGTTAACGAGGCATTACTAGAAAACTAGAAAAATTAAGCTCTTAAAGACTACCTCAGTAATTTGACTCCAAGCGAAGCCACCGATTATTCACTCTGGGGAGCCACTAAAAAAATGAAACAACCAGTACAAAGTATGACGCCGATTCGTAAACTTGATGGTAGTGGGTGAGAGCGATATGGAGAAAGCTAAATTGTTTGCTGAACATCTTGCCCGCGTTTTCCAATCATTTCCTTCAGTACTTGCCGACAAGGAGGAAAGTAAAATCAAACAATTTTTACAATACTCATGCCAAATGTCGCTTCTTATAAAACCCTTCAAAGTGAAGCAAGTCGAACGAATAATTCAGTGACGATTAAAACCAAGAAAAGCGCCTTGCTACTATTTATTAACGACTGAAGTCCTGAAGCAACTCCCATTTACAGGTCTAAATGGTTTTAACCTGATTCTTAGGCTTGGCTGCTTTTGTTCCTCAAGGTAGCGCATCCGGAACCCTGTTGTAATGTAATAATTGTTTAAGAAAAATATTGAAAAGAAATTATTCTTAATTAATAAATTTCAAGCGATAATTTATATATATCGGCGAAATATTAGTAATAAATCCTCACTCAATAAGTTCGTAGGATGACATATAGATGGCGCCCTTTTGAGAAGTAACAACCTTCAGACGCCTGTCAAAATTTCATGGCAATCTGACGTTTAGGTTACAAGTTACAGTGATTTTAGTGACGCTACTTTTGAAATTTTCAAAGCAATGGAACTGAATTTCGTGTGTTGATAAAACATTTATTTTAAGGCAAAAAATACCGTTTAAACAAAGCAATGATAAGTGTTATGGGACTCTTCTCTGTCAAGACAAATGGTAGATAAGTGGTTTGCTGATTTTAAACGCGATCATATAGTCACAAATTCAGCAAATTCGGCAATTGTTGCAGAAAACTTAACAAAAATCCACAAAATGGTTTTGGTCGATCGTAAATTGAAGTTGAGTAAGATAATATAATGAAGTTATGTGAAATATTGTAATAACTTCTGTTATTTGATTATTTATTATATACTAATTTCATTAAAAAAAATAGAATTAATTGATTATTGCACTAAACCTATTTACGCTCAGGTTTAATAATATAATTAATTTACTGTTTTACAAAATTATTATTTAGAAAATTAATAATATTTTGTACGTAATGAAAATAACTTGGATTGTTATTTAAATAGCATTATTATGCAATTCCAGGTTGAAATTAATAATATAAATTTGGAAATTCCAAAAATACTAAATGTAATAATATAATTTTCGTTTTTCAATTGGTTTTGTCAATATCCAATAATGTGTGACAATAATATAGGACTTTAAAACCACATTTAAATATAGTACAGAAAGAGAATTGATTATTGAGAAAAAAAGATCATTTATGTCAATATTTTTGTGTACTAATTTAAATGGATGGATCATTTGATCTTCCATCGAACTTTAATGTATAACTTCTAAATGGACGAAACGTGTTATTAATAAAATAAACAAATAAGAGTCCTCAAACAAAAATAATGAAAAATAATTTGTTTGAATGCACGATATCACTCGTTTTACAATATATAATAACTAAATAACATATATGCATAAGAAATCACTTGTGAAAGGACATAATAAATACCTGAATTATAATAGATATTAACTAATACAGTATTTACAGAAGTGAAGATATACAGGTGATTGCTCTTAATCCGGACACATTGGGAGTAGTATGCAGGATAAATAAAACAAGTCGGAAAACTATACGTATTATTTACATATATACTATAATATGAATGCATATTATAGTGATATAAATTCTTAAACAGTAAATATGTATGTAATATATCAGAGGTGGCCAAACTGTGGCTTGCAAGCCGCATGCGACTCTTCAAGAGTCTTGTTGTGGCTCAACTAGCAACAATACAAATATTTTTATATAAAATTAAATTAATTATTCTGGAATAATTTGTCCAAAGTGGTTACCTTCTATTTTACGAGATATAATGATATAAACTAGAACCACACTCCACCACCAAATATTCAAGTGTGAAACCCCGGCGCTACAAAAATTCACACACGATTAATGTCCCGATTAAATGAAATATTGTCCCGAAAAAGCGATGTACATTTTTGTTATTTTTTCTATTTTGGTTCCGTTCTTTAGGATTTGTCCGTAATAAGCGAATGTCCCGAATAACCAGTGTCCCAATTTAGCACAGTCGATTCTGTATTTATCGTCTAGAATATATATGTAAAAGATTATATCCGAATTGTACTGGAAGTTTCTATTTGGTCTACATAAAATAATATTATATTATTTAATACATTAACGTCAAATTGTTATGAATTGCTCATATTTTACGAAGCACTTGTGTCTCTTTTATAGCACAGTCGCCAAATATGCGCATATATATTTATGATATTTATATGAAGTTTGGGTTGTGGTGTGATTAGAGTAAATGTAGTGTGCAAGTCCGGAAACGGAAACGAGGCGTTCTGATGGTGTGTCCAGAAATGGGACAATAAAAACAATATGAAGAATAAAAAAGCAAGTGCATACACACAGATAGACTAAAGGGAGAAAGACGGAAACGTTGGTGAATACAGTAGAGGGAGTTTTCAGGGGCCAACGACACATTCAGAGGGCCTCGCACTGTGTATGCTCTCCCTCCTTTTTCGTCGCCCATTGGGAAATGTTCCTAGTCCGAGAAAATAGAAGCGATGCAATTTTGCGGTGCCCACGTCCACGCGAAGGCCACACATTTCATTTTATTCCCCATTCCCATCTTTATCATCCTGTTCCTCTCTCTCACTCACCCTCTCTTTATTTCCCTATCTTATTCCTCTTTCTAGCTTACTCCATATTTTTTTACTCTATTCTTTATTTCATTTTATGATTCCGCCCACTATCGCATATACGCTATGTCCCTTTCTTTATTTTTTACTCGGAGCTTTAAACATTTGTATTTATCGCGGTTGATCCGAGGGGTCAAAAATATACAGTTCCAGATAGTGAACGTTCGTGCAACCGGAATCTTAATTAGCAGAGTTGGTGAATGGAAAAAAAGCAAACAAGCAAACATTTTTCTGTATGCAAATCCGCAATGACCATCCACTTTGATCAGCGATGGAAAGGATCGCTTTTGCATCAAAGAGGCGGCGTATGCGGTTTCACTGAAGAAGTCGTACCAATTATTTCTCTCCGATACAAAGACACACTGTAGTTCGAACTGAAGCAAAGCTTTTTTTGGTAGCGTGCAGATTTTTCGGGCTTTAATTGCTGGAGCTAATTAACTGGGAGCTTAATGATTACACTTTGGTTTACGAATTCGCGTCACGCCACCTCACTCCCTCCTTCTCTTCTTTCTCGGAGAGAGAGGGTTTAAAAAAAAAAGAAGGGACATAAAATAAATTAAAGACAGAACGCGATCCGCAGAAGTAGCGATCCTTGTTTCCATCCAGTTCGTTCTTTCCCCCCAGTAATAATAATTAATTTGGCACGCGGATGACGAAATAATTAAGTGCTTTCTGTAGAAGGAATACGCGAGGAGGTGTACACTGGGCTATTAGTATTCAGGGGCGGCATCGCCACGGCGTAATTCGGTAATCAGTACTGGAAGTAATACAAAGAATTTCATTTGTGTTTTAATGAAACTCGCTTATCTCTCAGGTCGGATATACATGGGCATACACATGGCTCTTCGGTATGGCTTGATGGCACTCTTTGCTCCTTCTTGGATTCTGCTTAGGCCGCAGGCTGAGACGTGCATGGATTATTTTATTATTCACTCGCTCGCACACAAAATTTGAGGAAACGAGGAACGCGATGCCTCCTGAGTAATACTGCACGCACGATTTACACCTTCGGATATAGTTAACTGGAAGGAAAGAACCGGCGGATGCGCCGGGGTTTATAAACTCGATGTCGCCTCACCGCTGTAACCAATTTCCAAAAATTTTACATTTACTTATCATTTTCTTAATATATTCATATTTGCGCATAATTTAGCGATACATTTATTTAAAATGGTAAAGTTTTTTCATCTAATCCAGGGTTTCCCAAACTATGTTCCGCAAAACTTAATAGGCTCCGT